GGAGCCTGCTTCTCCCTCTGACCCTCCCCGCTTCTCATGTACTCTCTCTCATTCTCGCTCTCAAATAAATAAATAAATCTTTAAAAAAAAAAAAAGAATATGTAATACTTTTCAAGCACAAAAGGACCAATTCTTAATTCCATAAGCACCTTAGTTTTCTAAAGAGCAGAGTCCATCATATATAAGCTCTTACTTCATGTAATTCTATGAATTAAATCCTGTAACAAAGTCCAGCAATCTGAGATGGTAGCTCTATAGGGGCCAGTAGCCCTAAACTTACCAGTCGAAAAAACTTCCCAATACTACAATAATGGAAACTCACTAGCTATAGCACTGAAAGTAGTAAGCTTCAGTTTTCTATAAATTCAAATTTCTAAGTATCTTCAGTTTTTGAAGAGTCAAAAAAAGGGGGGGGGTTATTCTAGTTTGTTCAAATACACATCATCGTCTGCACATTGTACTGTGGCCTTAAGAAAAAGAGGAAAGACCTCCAGCTCACTTCATTTTTTTTTTTTTAAAGATTTTATTTATTTGACAGAGAGAGACACAGCGAGAGAGGGAACATAAGCAGGGGGAGTGGGAGAGAGAGAAGCAGGCTTCCCGCCGAGCAGAGAGCCCGATGTGGGACTCGATCCCAGGACCTGGGACCATGACCTGAGCTGAAGGCAGACGCTTAACAACTGAGCCACCCAGGTGCCCCCAGCTCACTTCATTTTAAGAAATGTTTTATTCTTCCTATCCTCTGATGTGAGATTCTCAAGGTCAGCTGGGATTGGGGTTTTGCTCTGACTCTACTTGGTACAACTATTCTGGTACCTATCTGTCCACCTGCTCACCTCTTTGGTGTTATACAATCATATTCACACATAGGTATCAGGAGAAAGCATATTATTCTTCAATACAAATCATTAAAATTTACTTTCCTCTACAAATTTTTCACTAGAGCTAAAAGATCAAGCTCTTTTTCCCAAAGAATCTCTGTCTATACATGTCAGTTGTTCAGCTCTTTTCATTAGATATGTCCATTATCCTCCAATCATAGACATCTGTGGGTTTTCACATCTCCTGGGTCTAAAAAGGCTGACCTTGAATATATACCAAGCTTCAACTCTAAATTCAAATTATCCCAGATGAGGGGTGCCTGGGTGGCTCAGTCGTTAAGCGTCTGCCTTCGGCTTGGGTCATGATCCCAGGGTCCTGGGATCGAGCCCCGCGTCGGGCTCCCCGCTCAGCGGGAGTCCTGCTTCTCCCTCTCCCACTCCCCCTGCTTGTGTTCCCTCTCTCGCTGTCTCTCTCTCTCTGTCAAATAAATAAATAAAATCTTAAAAAAAAAAAAAATTATCCCAGATGAATTTAAAGACAAGAGCTGGCCATGTGTGAGCAGATGTGTTTAGTCCTGAACTTGCAGACATGGGTGTTTGAAAAGGGAAAAAAGCTGAGGCACAGATATGTACAGAGGACTGGTGATGTTCCTAAGGATGTGTCAAAACTGGTGAGTCAGGGGCGCCTGGGAGGCTCAGATGGTTAAGCGTCTGCCTTCGGCTCAGGTCATGATCCCGGGGTCCTGGGATGAGCAGAAGCACTGGCTCATTTCTTAGTGGATTAGAAACTAAAGGAGACAGGCAGAGGCTCAGTGGTCCTCAAGAAACTGTTTGGTCTGTAGCCTCCCCTCGGTCTCGGGCTCAACCTCTATGTTCTCTCATAGCTGTGACTCAACCAGGTATTTTCTGGCTTACTGAGATATCCACGGCATTTCAGGTTCTGATGTTTAAAAACAAAACAACAAAAACTCTTTACAAACCTTATGTTTCCTTTTGCCTTTGTTGGAAACTTTTTCTGAGGCTTGTTTCTGAGCCTCTCTTGTGTGCTTTTCTGGCACATTTTTCTTTTCCCCCTTGGGTGGCTCTGTTTCTTTGTAAGGCTTTCCTGGTATTCTGGTCAAGAGATTCAGGTCAATCTTCACAATAAGTGGATACCTGTCATCAGGCTCACTGAGGGGTGAAAGAAGTTCCTTCTCTTCCATAGGAGAGAACATTCGTTGCCGAAAAAAGCTATCTTCTTCCTCCACTGAGGAGGGCTTCACGGGAGTCCTGTTACTCTCAGGGTACTTAGGAGTTTGTGAGGAAGGAGGAAGGCTCTCGCTTTCATCCGAATCTGAGGATGAGGTATCTGTTTCTATAATTTCCCTTGATTTCTGGGAAGATTTACTCGTTGACTTGTATTTCTTTTTCTCTGCAGAAGGTCGAGGGGAAGATTTGGACTCCTTTTTAATATTGGGTTTCCTGGAGCCTTTGGTGGCTGCTTTATGTCTGCTGGAGGGCATGCTGGTAGCCATGTCTACAGGGGTTTCGCTTTCTATCTTCAGGCCTCCCCGGGGCTCTTCAGCGGCTGCCTTCTCAGCCTTTTTGGGTTGTTTTTTGCCTACAGTTCTCCTCTGTGCTGTGCTGTCACTCTGTGCAGGGGACTTCTGCCTCCCTCGCCCACTTTCTGATCCCTTTTGGACAGTTTTGGAGTCTCGTCCAGGAGTAGCAGAACTAGTTTCTTTAGGTCCACCTGGATCAGGGTAGCTATTCCCGGTGCCCTGTTCTCGGCCTTCCTTTTTATAGCCTTGAGATGATGGGATGTTACTGTCCACAGAAGAAGCTGGTGACACTTTATGTGGGTTCACTTTATTCAACCAATTATCAAGTTGCCATTTGTTTGTTGGTGGTGGTTCAGGCTGTAAAACAGAGAAATAAATATGCTTTTGTCAATCCTGAAGCTTTCTCCCTCCTTAACAATCTCAAGGAAGAGGAAAAAGCACAACGTCTAAGACCACAAAGGCATTTGCTGTTCAGAGTTCTGACTGAACTAAGCAAAGGGCTGACTATTGGCTCTCAGAGCTCTCATCCCTTGAATGAGAAGATAAGCCTGATGTTACAATGGCCTTTAAACATTAAAGATTCCTGTCAGGAACCCAACTTCAAAGGTAAAATTACAAATGACCATGGCTATGCTTAATTCCAAAAAGTAAACAAGTGATGTAGGTACTGATAGAGATTTTCAACCATATTTTATCAACCTACAGTAAAAATTATATAATATAGGAATCCTTTTAGTCACAATAACTACATAACATGAATTACCATGCTGAGATATAAGAAGAAAGCCCAAACTAAACCAATCCAGTATTTTAGGGACCTGAAATATGACCTCAAATAATTCCTAATCTAGACTGAATGTTTGTTCAAATAACAAGGAAACTCAAGTATCTAAGTTTCCTCCAAGATACACAGTTCAATTTCTTAACCTTCTTTCCCTTCGCCTTTTATATTGGAAACAGGTCTCAACTGGCCATCACCAGGGGCCGTGCGAGGCCTACGGAAGATACCCCTGCCTCCGTCTCACCTCAGGAGATGCACTCTGGGACGGCTCATTTGCCTCGCTGTCACTGGAGCTACTTTCACTCTCTGAGTCAGATCCAGAGCTGCTTTCAGATCCACTGTGGCTGCTAGAATCGTCCCTGGAGTTATCAGCTCCTTCACTATTATGGTGTGAAGGTTCAGAGTTACTAAAAAGAGATAAAACATATAAATGACCGAAAATGTTTTTTTTGTTTTTTACAGTGACAGCAGGAAAACACCCACATCTGACAACCAACTTTATTTAAAATGTTTACTGTTTGTTATGCTGTTATAGTTCTATGAATCCAGAACATCATTTATAACTGAAATACTTCCTTAAAAAAAAAAAAAAGTTTCTAATATGCTCCTCAGCCATTAGCACTTACCTTTTAAAAACAGTTCTACTGTGGTATAATTTACATACCACAGAATTCACCCATGTTAAGTGTACAATTCAATCATTTTTAGTTAATTTACAAGGTTGTACAATCGCCATTACAATAATATTTACTTTATAAGGTCAATTATTACTACAATGCTATCGAGTGACCCCCACCCCTCCAAATAAAACAAAAAATAAAAGGATGCGTACCTTCCTGGTGTACTCCTTGGCATTGTCTTATCACAATCCTAAAAGTAAAACATGAGAGGAAATGTGAATGAATAAATAGCACTCTATCTGCTTAATGTGAACAATATTTGAATTCTTCACAGAACACTAGCAGCTCTAATGTATGCATCAATGTTCACCTAACACTTAGGACACACTGTTGTTACCTAAAGAATAACTGCCAGGCTAGGACGAAAAGCTTTGTTAAAAGTTTTTCTTGTCAACAATCTCACGTTTCATGAGTACACTCTGATCCATGAAAAGTAGTAAGGAAAAGCCAATTTAAAAAGAAGGAGTTTTAAACACAGAGCAGAACATGACAACATTCCACTGTCAAAAAGCAGTAAGGAACTTATTTTAAATAAATGAATCATATATGTATCATTCAATTCTAATTCTTATAAAATACAATGCAAACCAATACTGTATGATACTGGCAAATTCATAAAGCAGTAGACACACCTGCTCCCCATCGCTGTCTTCACTGCTGCTTAGTTTTAAGTCATCTTTTAACATACTAGAGGGAAAAGGCAGAAAGAATTAGTAATTCTGTAACAGTGTATCATGGCACACCAGAGTATTAAATATCTATGAATCATTCTAGAAATAATCATGGTGGTAGCCATAGATTTAATTAAAAAACAAAGAAAAGAACCAGTAAGTCTTACTCTGGTGTGCTTCACATCCGGAGTAAAAACTGAGAAAGGAGGAAGTGAACATTTCAAAAGCTAGCACTTTTCCATAAGTAAAACATGTAACCTTCTTTTCTAATAAAATAAGCCACCTTCTACAAACTCTTATACTCAGTTGTTATCTCTATTTTTCTCTAATTGCATCCATACCCACTCATTCATATTAAAAAAAATTACCATACTCATACCCAACAGTCCACTAGAGAGATAAAACTCCTAAAAAGAAGGAAGATAAAATGAAAGTATCAGCAATTCTCTTTCATTGTCCCTCATATTCCACGAAGAGATTCATACAACTTCATAATTGTGAAAACCAGAACACAAAATGAAAGCGCTAGTTCATAAACGCCTTGCTATGAAAGATGACTGCCCTCTGGAGGAGTAACAATTTGGGGTAAGAACCTTAGCTATAAAACAGAAATGACCGTGTATGAAGTAAAAATAAACTCCAGGTTCTAAATCTTCCTTGATTAAAGTTCAAATCAATTAAAAAAACACACACATTCCGTAAACTATAGTTTCTGAAATTCATTTTTCAAAGTAAGATTACAGATTTAAATTTTCCTTAAGGCCATAAAATCAACATTAAAATAAAGAATCCGAGTAATGACCCATAAAATATTCCTTGCCTTTTTACAGGAGAGCAAAAATTAATACAAAGCTTAGAGAAAACCACTAGAAAAATGTTTAATTTCTCATTACTGAGTAGTTCCATTACCTTTCTTAAAATTTCATGACAGTCTCCAATCAGTGGAAAGGAAATCTTCTTTCACTCCAATAACTACTAATACTTTCCCCTCAAAGCTTAACCTGAGTTTCTATATCTGACCCCAAATTCAGATTATCCCCTAAAAGATCACCTTGAAACACAGTAACCAGATGATTACAGAATTATGAAAAGTGTTTTAAGGCTGGCCCAGTTAAGCGGGACAGAAAAAAAGAGCTTTCTTTTGGACAAGGGCTTAGTGTATCTCTATGACTGATATCCTGTAAGGAAATGTACTTACTCTGAATTCTCTCAGCCCTTATGATTTAATAATGGCAGCTCAATGAACCTGTTCACACACATGGATATGTCAAAGCTTTTACCAGACTGCTCAAGGTCCTGCATGCTTTTGTTCCCTCAGCAACCAAACTGATTCGCACATATATGGTAGGCTTTTACCAGTTCTTTGCATATGAATAAATATGATAAATATGAATATAATTTCAATTCTTTAAGCAGTGAGGGGGATTTCTTGCATTCGTATAAGTTCATTCTCAGTTCTTCCTTTGTTCAGCATAAGAGGCTGAGGTTATCAATACAGATTACAGATTATAGCTTAGAAAGCTAGCACTGTGGCCACAGCTGCTTCAGAATTTTGTTTTAATCAGTGAGTTAACCTGTGGTCTCAGGAATTCAGTTCCTTCTTAAGCTGGAATTTATTATCATCCAATATATTAGCCTAATTACATTTTGACATATATTCCTGGTTCTACCTATAGAAGGAGGAAAACTTAAAGACAGTACAAGCTATGCTGACTTAATATTCTACACAAAGCAGTTAAATGGAGGGCTTACTAAGAATCCTGTATTGTTCAGTCTTCTTTATTAAAAACAAACTATCAACCTACCCACAATCACAAATACACACATCTCTAAGAGATGAGAAAAAACTGTAATCTCAGAGGAGGTATAGGCAAACTATGGACTACAAGTTAAATATAGACTAATACCCGTTTTGTAAAAAAGTTTTATTGGAACACAACCACACCCATGGTCTATATTTGCTTTCATACTACAATGGCAGAGCTGACTAATTGGGACAAAAACTATCTAAAGCCCCTAAAGCTTAAACTATTTCACTATCTGGCCTTTTACATAAGCTTGCCTACCCCTTCCTTAAAAGATTAAGTACACATATTTAAGCATTGTGCTAGTATATACACACTACAGACAGACTTTTAGCAAAACAGACAAACTTATTAAGCAATACACTTACGATTTAGATTGGTGTCCATTTGAAGTTTTAGAAGAAGGATTGTATCTTTCTAGAACAAAAAGAATGCAGAAATTAACAACTACAGTACGGCTATTTAGATTGTAAAATATGTATCAGTATACCCGCAAAGAAATGTAAATCAACACCATGAGATAGAGTTCGTCCCTCCAAAAAACTGGCAACATTTTAAAGTCCAATAAATACGAGATACTGGTGGAAACAGGCATGCTCAGAAGCTGTCTGTAGGACTATAAACTCGTATAATCTTTTTGGCAGGCAATCTGGTAATATTATCTTACTGATACTAGAAATGCACATATCCACTGACATAGCAATTATGATGGAAAAAAATGTACCTTACAGGTATATCTGGAAAAATACATAAACACACACACACACCAGATGTTTATGGTAGTATGATTTGTAACAGCAAAAACTATAAATAAATGTCTATCAAGAGGGGACTAGTTAAATAAATTATGGTACGTTCATACAATGTAAAACAATTTTCATGTTAAAAAGAATGAGCTAGAGGGGCGCCTGGGTGGCTCAGTCGGTTGAGCGACTGCCTTCGGCTCAGGTCATGATCCCGGAGTCCTGGGATCGAGCCCCACATCGGGCTCCCGGCTCGGCGGGGAGCCTGCTTCTCCCTCTGACCCTCCCCTCTCTGATGCTGTTTCTCTCTCGCTCGCTAATAAATAAATAAA